CCACAAGATGATTCAAATGCTACACCATCCTTTTATTGTAGTTTCCTTCCCTGCACTTAATACTGTACGAGACAGTTTCTTCCATTGCTTTCCAGATCAAGCAGACATATAATGAAAAAAGATAGTGATTGTTTACAGAGGAGGGGAATCAAAATTATCTCTTTCCTTTTTCCTAAAGTGCAGCCACCTCCCACTGGTGCCTTGCAGAGATACATTTCCCATCATATGCAGGGGGTAATAGGATTGAAGCCCAACACTCTGGGTGACCCATGTTAGAAAATACATTTTGACCCTGCTGTAGTGACTAATATATACTGTCTTGTATCTTATGGACAAAATGTTGGGGAGAGAATGAGAGAAGCAGCAACCAAGGCAACATCTACTTTGGGTTCTCACTCTTTTCTTTTCATCCCTTTTCTTCTAGCTCCCATTGCCATGGCAACTGTTTCTAGCACATGCTCTTGGCCACTTTTTCTAGTAGCTGTAGCTGTGTAGAGTTTTATATTTTATACATATCATATGCAGAGGTCAAGCAAACACACTTTAAAAAAATGCCCCAAATTTATGTATACAGGCCAAAGCCCTCACAGTTAAGAATTCGACTGTTTGCAATGCTAATTAATCCCGAATGCATCACCAGTCCTCCATTTGGCCTGCCCTGACATTCAGCAACAAAACAGGCCTCCACCTCAAATCCGACCCCCACCATTCCCCCTTGAGCCACAGCAGCACTCACGGTTGTAAATGTGTGCCACAGAGAGACATGCACACACCCACAGCATGCTCCTTACCAGATGGCTGCACAATATTCTATTTTCATAAATTATCATGATCTATACATGCTGGAATACATCTCTCTTTCCTTCACAGGGCTGTTGAGTTCCCTGGGAGGGGGTCGAAAGCTTGGGTTTGGGTTATCCTGCAGAACCATCCCCCCCCCGGCCCAAAAAACCCCAATAAATCTGCAAGGAAGACAAAAGTAACTATCAGTTGAACCAGAATAATCCAGTCCAGTGCCTCTTTCCCAAAGGCATTGGATTAGTTCTCTTTATCTTTGACCAGCTTGTCCATGGATGCTGGGAGCTGTTATCCAATTCACTTACTAGTTTCTAATAACATGTTAAATCTGAGCTAACAAGACAAAATGGCTGTGTCCACATTACGTGCTGCACCCAAACAAACACACCACACCATGGCTTACTGGAGGGGGCTCATCCATATATATACTCAGTAAATCATTGGGTTTCCACAGTACAATACAGTGAAGCCAGCTAGCCAGCTCAATTGTAGCTTACTCTACAATTTGAGGAATGAACCCTGCAGAAGATGCCTATATTGGAGAATGCTAGTCTAAACTGGCCAGTAATTTGTACCTAAATAACCATTTCCTTCTTTTATCAGCAGTCCAATTCTATTATCTCCTTTTTTATCACTCTGTGTAAAAAACTTCACCCCATCCCACTGCAAAACAATTTTAAGTAGTGTGGCCCTTAATCCTTGAATATCATCTCCATCTTTCACTTCCACATAACTTTATAGGATTCTGATTCGAAGATGCTTCACCTTGCCTTTCTACTCATATTTGTTTCCTGTAGGGGATTCTTGCTCTTCCTCTTCTGTATCCCATAGAAGTGTCCCAAGCATTTCGATTTCCTAGCCAAGTAGCGACCAAGCCCAGACCTGCTTAGTTTCAGCCAGGGATCAGCACTGCAAGCCCTCAGTCTGTGTTTAAGGAACACCTTCCACATTATTGTTCTCAAGAGGCTCTTCTTTTGTGTTTGGAGTTATGCAGCTGATTATGGTAGCCACACAAGACAAATGCAAGAGCAGCAATCACTCATCATTCATATGGGCAAGTTTATGTTATGAACACTGACAAATAGACTAAAAGGAAAAAAAGCCTGCAGGTCAGCTTTCCTCATTTTTAAGAAGAGATTGGACAACCGTTGTCTGAAATGGTACAGCGTTTCCTGCTTGAGCAGGAGGTTGGACTAGAAGATCTCCAAGTTCCCTTCCCAACTCTGTTATTCTGGTATTCTTCAAGGGCCTGGACTTCTAGCTCCCGGAATTCTCAACAACCACCAAATTAGCCTGAGATTGTGTGAGGTTCTCCTATCTAGAGGGCAGCTGGGTTGGGAAAACCTACTTCAGATAAATATTTTGCTACAGGCCTATCCCAGAGTGTTCAGAAAGGTCCTTCTGTGAATCCCATAAATCCTTGGACCCATATTTATTTCCAAGTCCCACAATGTAAGATCTTCCTAACCCAAGCACACCTTTCAATCTCTGCAACTGAGGATGCACACAAGCTGCATTCACACAATGGTACATACTTGAATAATGTTGGATTCATTTGGTGTGATTTTGTGGCTTAGATTGTTGTTTGAATCCAACATGTTTGGTTATTGTACTTTACAGTTCAATATGTTATGCAAATTTGGGAAATGGCTTAATTTAATAAGCTATGGATAAATATTAGGAATTTCTCGCACAAATTGCCAGTGCAATGTAGCTATTCCTTTCAAACCCATTATAGCAACATCGCACCAAAAATCTTTCCACAAAGTAGGCCAATGTCTCTCAACCTTGGCAATTTGAAGATGCTGGATGGGGAATTCTGGGATTTGAAATCCATACATCTTCAAGTTACTGAACTTGAGAAACACCAAAGTACACTAAAGTTAATGTGATAACAATATAAAGTTGATTAGCTTTTAAGTTATCCCAACTCTCTTTGGATTTTTTTTTAATTGTAAAACATTAGCATGGCTAACAATGCACTTCACCTAACCTCTCAAATAGTATCAAATGATATTCTGAAAAGGTGCTGGGATTGCAAATCATAGTTTTCACAGCCATGCTACAGTAGTACAAATTAGTGTAGTGTAGTCAAATTAGTCTTTAGCTATGCTTTCATTTCTGGGAGTTGCAATCCTAACATATCCAGAGAATACCAGATCAGAGAAGGCTGCTGATACACAAAGAAAACTTCATTGCATGTAAATGTGCAATCATTTCAAATTGCAGGTGTAGGCTTGCATAATTAAATGCCTCTCCATTTAAGACCCTGCATCCAGAATAGAACATATTAGGGTGAAAAGTTGTGGTTAACTTTCTTTGTTACACAGAAGTTGAATTTGTACAATACATTTGATCCAATCCAGTAAAAAAATTAGATGTTATCTTTGATTCATGTTAACCTCGGTCAGTTTCCTAATTAGTTTGTGGATTAGCATGGGAAAATCCAGCTTCTTTGATGGAATGTATGTTACGCTGTATAGTGTGAAGCCAGAAATGGTTAATTCAGTAATCAGGTTAAACATGTGCAGGTTAATGCAGCCTGCTTGCTTGGAAGAACAGTCAGTCATGTGTTTTCCCATCTGCAGTATTAAGTGATAGGATCCAGGCACAGCTTTAGCCCTTCATCAGCTGTGAATTAGACCCTATGAAATTTCATGTTGATTACCCATAATACACAATGACTAAAAAAATTAAAATAATTACAAGGAAAGGGTGAAGTGAAGAAAGCATGGGGAAAAAACCAACAGATAAGGACTTGGAGTTAGACAAACAAACAGTCAGTATGTAACAGTGAAAGGAGTTTGCCATTGCTTTTTTTAAAAAAAATCCTGGCAAATATTCAAGGCAGCTAGCAAAATTTGAAAATTGGGAATTTTTAATGGGTAGTGTATGAAAAAGTGGGGGGGGGTAGTTTAAATATAGCTATTCTTATGATCCCTATTTTTCAAAATATTAGGATATGGTAAAATGCCAATCAAGTGCAAACAGGAAGAGTCCATAAGCCTTGCATTAGCCAAATCCACACAGAGTGGGTTATTAAAGGCATTGAATTAAGTTCTGGAGGAGGATGAAATTGGCACTATCAGTCCTTACATGAGAAAAAAAATGGAGGTTCTGGGTAAATGGAGAAAAAGGAAACTCCAAAATCCATAGAGGATGAAGAGACTTTAGCTCATGAATCAGATGGACATTTCTGATAGCTTCATACCTACTTTCCCAACTTAGTATTCTCTCTCATCACCCTATAGCCACACTAATTGGGAGGGATCGGAATCATGTATCTGGGTGATATCATCCAAGTTCCACAATGGAGATAGAGAGGGTGAGATAGATACTTCTCTGAACTTCCTTTTTGGTACATTTCTTCATGGGACCTAACAATCTCAGGACGATTTCACTGAAAATATCCACGGTTTCCAGAATGTCACTGGAATCCAAGCAGAAGAGGGTTCTGGCTCCTGGAGTGAGACTCAGACCCATTGGCAGACAGGCAATAAGGGAAGGCTTCTAGTAAGACAGGAAGCAGCCAGCCCAGAGATGCTTGTTGGAACCAGGCCTAGATAGGGATATATGGGGCTCCTCAAGAGGAATTCTCCTCCCATTGAGGGGGTGTGGTATCAGACCTGAGTACTAAGCACAGCTTGATGGGAAAGCAACGTGTGTTGCTATGGGAGCAAGCAATGAAGGGGAGGGGGCTGAGCCAGTGGAGAGCTCTATAAAGGACATAGTGGCCGAATGCTTGCTAGGAAGATTTTTGGGGTGGAGAAAATTAAGTGGAAAATAGTGGATTGGGGATATTTGCCTGCAGCATCAGAAAGGACAGAAGGGGGTTGGGTTGCCAAGTATAGGGGGAGGGGGGAAAGGAGGAGGTAGAAGTGCAGCATCTTTCAGCCACTGAGCAGGGTATAGATGGTGCAGTTTCCATAGCAACTTCCATCCATCATCCTACTTCTCAATTCCTATTAATTCCAGCCTGCCCTATTCCCCCCTCCAAAAAAAAAAATCAAATCACTGTCCCAATCTAACCTTTTCAACTCCCTACTTCATTCATATTCTTTCATGATAAGGCATCCATCCTGCTGCATGTACCATCTCTCATCCCTTTGCTCAGCTGGATCATGACCCTTTCCACCCTCAAAAAAAAAAAAAGAACCCACCCACCCAACCATCTAACCTCACCCCTTCGTCCCCACACTCACCAAAGTGGGGGGCGTCGCGGAGACAGCATCCCCTGCTCCCCCTCTTTTCCTGATAAGGTTGGCGAAGACCGCTGTACCCTCCTCCGCGTGCCCAGTTGGGGGGCAGAGAGGGGCGAGGCTGCGGGCTCCCCCGGTCCCTTTATTGCTTGGGCTCCATAAAGATCCCGGAGCAGACCCAACTGGAGCCTCGCCAAAGCCCTCGGGAGTGGGCGATGGAGAAGGGGGGAAGCAAGCGAAGTGGAGACCTGGAAGAACCCACTGGTCCTGGCGGCTCCGACCCGACCCGGCTGCCAAGGAAGAAGCCGACACAAGCAGGCAACCAACCAACGACGTCGGGAGCGCTGCAGCAAAAGCGCTCCTGCGAGCAGCAGAGACGGGAGTGGAATACTAATAGTGGAGGGGGGGGGGGGGTGGGGGAGGGGGGGAGGGGGGGGGAAGAGGGATAGGGGAGGGGGGTGGGGGTTGAGGAAGCGGGGAGGGGGGCAAAGCGGGCGGGGCGAGAGTGGTTGAGCCAAGGAGGAGAGCGAGGCATCCAGAACGAGATAGCGCGCCCCGAAGGGGAAATGGGCGCAATACTCAGCCAAGGAGAGGAGATGGCATTTGGGGAGGATTTTTGGGTGGGCCGGAAGGGGGAAAAGTCTGGTAAGTAAGTGCTCGCGACAAGCTAGAAGCCGTATTCCTCGTTCCTGATTGGCTTTACTCCCCAAAAGAGAGAGCTTGTTGGAGTCTTCATTAGAGAAAATTGTTAAAATCTAACAAAATTGTTAAAATCCAGCCGAGATTATGGGGACCAGGTCTCTTCATGTCAGCACCCTCTGCAAATGCAGATTGAAAAGGTGAACTGATTGGCTGACAACTTTTGGGCTAGGTTGGCTTCTCCAAAAAAGGCTGCCTTGTCAAGAGTCTTTTGCTCTCATCTCTTTCACTTCTCCAGGGATTAATTGGATAATAACCTATAACTAAATAAGAAGAACATAAGTAGAGTCAGAACCCAGGGAAAAAGACTCCCAGGGTTTGCAGGATCTGGCTATGACTTTACCTTAGAAGCTTCAATAAAAATGAAAAGTGAAGTGAGAACTAAAGAAGCTTCTTTGATAAGAAGCTAAACATTTTCAAGGAAAAAAAACTTTTTAAGGGAGAAAAAGCCAAGAAAGTCCAGTAGCCTTTTGAAAAGTATCTTTGAGACAACCATGATATGGGGATGATTGAGAATCTCCATAGACCTTCAGTGAAAATGTTGGATAGCTAGAAAGAAATATGTGACAGTGGCAAATATCTATAGCTCAGGTGTGGTATGAGGGTGGAGGCTCGTTCTCTGAGCTTGTGGGTTGGTTTCCAGACATGTTATCCATGTTATCCGTGTCTGGTAACGAAACGTTTGGAAACCAACCTACAAGCTCGGAGAATGAACCTAGAAAGAAATGCCACTTTCTATAGCTTTCATCGTAGTGTAGAGTTTGCCATCACCATCCTCACAACCACCTCTGCCAACCACTGTTATTCCCTATGCCAATTAAAAGTGTTTTTCATGAGTTGTTGTTTGAAACTTGAAGACCCAAGCAATAATAGCTTTACATTTTATATTATATGCTTTACAAATCAACCAAATCAAAACAGAGAATACCACCATCACAAAAAGAACTTCCTGGAGAATTTCACCACCCCTTGCAATTAGGTTATATTGTTATGAAGCATCTTTTTTCTATAATCAGAATGATTAAGGTTTCCCATTAAATCTATTCCAAAGAGTTTTCTTTGGAAACAACGAGAAGAGCAAGGCTTGTTTGTAAGAAAAACAAGAAGATAACAAGGGTATGAAAAGGGTATGAAGATATCATAAAGCAGCTGAAGCTACTACCTTCAATGTAGCAGCAGCCAATGCCGGTGCTTGCTTTGTTGCTGAAAGGTTTTGGAAAAACAATGAAAGAAAAAACTGAAATAAATTGTTCTGACAAAGTTGGCTCAAGGCTGAATCACAATATATCTGTCAAGACAGCACTCTTATACTGTACCAACTGATTTGTGAGTGAATCAGTGGGAATTCAATGGCCATGTTCACGCTACACACTTGACCATTCACTTGCTCCCTGGCTAAATTTGTACCATTGTGTGTAGCAGGATAAGATCACTGTTGTGAAGACACCATGTCCTGACAGCTCCCAACCTCAAAAAGCTAACATTAGCATCACTGTGGAGGGAGTTGGAGGTGGGGGTGGAATTGCTTCCTGCTGCTTTTTGTCCCTTGTCCAACCTTCATGTGGCCAGGAGATGCGAGAGAAAATGGAAGTAAAAGTGAAACATATTCTGATGCTTGGAGATGCTGTTTGGGAATACTGGGAGATGAAGTCCATACATCTTAAAGATGCCATGTTTGAAAAACACAGTTATAGAATATATCTTAGGGGCTCTTATCATTTGTTTTATTTGGGGATTTTATTAAAAGTGAAAAGCCCATATGCTGATGGGACAACCAGGTCATGACCCCTTGTCAAAATAACCCTAACCCTAACCTTTTCAGAATGTTTCTATATTTAACGATTAACAGTTCCTACTCCATAACAGAATGGTTTTTGGTAATCCTAACCCCAACCTTAATAATATCAAACACCTGGCTGCCTTTTTAAATTTTGAAAACCTATTTGATTTCGTCTCTCCCAGAGGTTTTTGTATCTATTCCTTAGATATAGTATAGTAAGCAGCTCCTATTTTTGTATGTTTTTGAAATAGAATGATGATATGATCCCTAGTGATTTGTGTTGGGTGTGTGTGCAGGTGTGTGTGTGCGTGTGTGTATGAAACTCTCCAGTGTGGAAGAATTTAAGTCATTTTAATATTAGTAAGTGTTTTAAGCAAAGAGATGCTGAATACATATCTGGAGATATTCATCCCTATTATTCTGGGCATGTGCAGAGTGCCTTCTGCAAGATAAATGCTTGTCTTAGTCCCCAGTTGTATGTCCGAGCACATCTGTTACCCAAAGCAGGAGTCCTTTTTTCAAAAAGCATACAGGGCAATGTATTTGAGGCTAAATGGTGTCTGGAACCATCTAAGTAAAGAAAAAGGAAAAAGCAGCCTGGCATTGCCAAACTGCAACTGCTGATTCTATAACCCTAAGGTGGCCAACTTTTTTACAATGAAAAGGAGGACACAAATAAATTAAACAAAAAAAACAAAGCCACTTGCACGCGGTGCACTCTTGCACGCGGCACACTCTCTCAAAACAATTTTCCTGGTATCACTATTAATCAGTCATTTGACTATAATTTTGTTCATTCATACTTTGCGAGATAACTATAATTTACTTAGTTTATTTTATAACAATTCATATAATCCTCCCAAATCTATCCCAAAAACATTTTATAGATATGATAACAAAAAAAGAAATACATCTTTATATATTCATTATTTTCTAAAATTCTAAATATTCTATTATTATATTTTATTATCTAACCATTGATAGAAAAGGTCCCAAATTTTATAAAATTGTTTATCTTCTTGTTCTCTAATTTCAAATGTCAATCTACTCATTTCAGCACATGACTGATTAATAGTGATACTAGGGTATTCAATTTTTGATTGATAATATGAGTTATTATGTAATGTAACTGTAATTGAGACTATGAAATGGATGCACAAAAAATTTGTAAACCAACCGACACACTGCTTGTACATTTATGAAAGAAAGTTGGATGTTTTTATGTTTTGTTTGTTTTTGTTTGTCTTTAAAAACCAATAAAACTTGCTTTTTTTTAAAAAAAAAAAAAAAACAATTTTCCTGGGTGGAGTGCATACATCTTATAATCGCGTCTTGCTGCAGTACTGAGCCTTGATGAATCGTTATGTCAAATACAAATACACACACACAAAACGGATCGTCTTGGCATCGATCAAATATGGAGATTTACAGATTAGTCTTCAAATATCAAAAAGGAGGACATGTAGGAGGACACTTTTTGAGAGAAGACAGAACTTACAAATGGAGGACTGTCCTCCCTAAGGGAGAATGGTTGGTATTGAGGTATTCCCCGTTAGGAGAATGAGTGCACTTAGGGAAACATAGTGAGAGTGGTGAGGAATAACATACAACCAGTACACAGATACACTGAATAGTAAAATGTAGGTTTTACTTCCAGTAAACAGGTAAACAAAGTCCAACAAACGGTCCAAATCATATATGGTTAAAGCAGTTAGTATTCAAAACAATCAGTCCAGGGATCATCCAAAAACCAAGTTCTTTTCTTTACCAGTATCATAAAGAACGTTCAGTAAACAGAGTTTGCTAACAGTTGCAAGACTCACAGCAATCCAAGCAGAATGACGATCAGGCAAAAGGCAAACAGGAAAATGCAAGAAAACAAACCATGTTTCTGGCTCCATCTTATGGCCGTTGGAGGAACCTCAGCCAATCACAATTACAGCATTCTCTTAAAGATACAACAGTATTAAATGACTATCCTGGTTTATATATTGCCAACCCAACTGTTAGGTAACTATCATTCCTAACAGTTGGTCACCTTAAACCCTGAAAGTAGTAACAATTAAGACAAAATAATGATAATGTATTTGATGGTAAGGACAATATCCCAATTTTATTCTATCCCTTCACTAATCACAAATCAATAGTAACACCAAACCAGGCTTTATTAAAAATGTTTGCCTCAGACTTTTCTGACTTGAAGCCCCCTAGTTCATCACCATATTTTTCTTTGATACTAAATAAATTATATTCCCCGGGGAGTTGAAATATATGTTGAAGTGATCATCTTCATATGTGGAACAGAGGAGGCTTCTGATTCATTTTCAATAATGACAGATATTGGGGACAAAGTGCTCGTAGTCTGAAAAGGCTGGTATGCCAGACTATTACAGGTAGACTTCACTTAATGACTGCCCTTTCGAAATTACAACAGCGCTTAAAAAGTAAGTTTAGACTAGTCCTCACATTTATGACTGCTGCAGCGTCCCTGTGGTCATGTGATTGGCATTCGGGCCCTTTGCAACCAGCAGGCATTAATGACCACCCTGGGATCTTGTGATCACGTGATTGCAATTGGGTTTCGCCAAGGCACTAAAAATT